GATAGATAGATAGATAGATAGATAGATAGATAGATAGATAGATAGATGATAGATAGATAGATAGATAGATAGATAGATACAGATATGTGTAATAAGCTCTCATCAAAAAAGCTTCCCACTATAGAAAATGGAAGGAATCACATGAAACCACAACTGAACAAAATGCAGAGATCAATGGATTGTGGGTATCTGAGCCTTAGTGGATATATCTCCAGCTCAGCTCCTGCATCTATAGCTCAGAATACATCAGAAAGGAAGTAACAGAAAGATTTTAAGAGTCAATATACCAGGAAGTCTGCATGACTTTATAATTGCCTCTTTAGAAAGGGCTGCATAAACAAAATATATATTATATATAGTGAGATTTTTTCCTCTTTCATAAGAGCATGCCAATTTATATATATATATATATATATATATATATATATTCTAATTAAAAATGGTGAAAAAAGTATTGAGTGAATATGGATTTTTCTTCTTCACATCTTTACCACACCATAGTAGAATGAAACTCCATAGGTGTATTTCCACCTAACTGTTTGAGCTTCTGTTTTCTATGTAATGATGAGCTTTATGACATTACTCACCACTGACATCTTTCTACATTAATTTTCTCAGCGTTATTTTTTAAATATTTTCCTGTTGGAAATTCCTCTGAAGTAGTAATCTAAATGTCGGCACCGTGTGTGTCAGCTAAGGGGTGTAGTTGAAAGGATAGGTATACACAGCAATTATTTCACTGTTGTTTGATTTCATGGATTACTTTCAGGCAGATACCCAGTTACAGAAATTATTGGTTAAAATAATAAAAACCTATTTTAGGCGTAAGTAGATAGTGATAAACTCTTTATAAATTTAAAAATCAATGCATTCTCTGCACCGTAGAATTTTCTGCATTTTCACTTTCATCATTTGTACTAGTTTTTAATCAAACCCTTCCAGAGATACCACTGAACATTTAAGTAACACAGTGCTCCCATTAAAAAAAGTAAGAAAGGCTTATAGAAAGAACTTTGGAAGAAACCTTCATCTTTAGAGTTAATTCTCTTTAAAACACACATAGTTGCCTGTTTCCCATTCTGTAGTGCAGTTATAATAATGCAGCCTCTTACTTTTGGCATTCATCTAAAGCTAGCACATGAGGGTGGTCATCCTCTGACATGGTGATGACTGCTTCCCTGTCAATCGCTCCCGGCTGAGTCTGGTCTACTGTGTGCCTGGTGATGGAGGACGTGCTGGAGCTGGTCCAGTACAGGGTATCCCAGGCTCTGTGATAGGCGAGGCCCTCGACGGAGCCCACATCTGGTGGAGGAAAGCAGACAATAAATCACATCACGTTTTATTAAAAATGCCTTCTAACAAAGATATATACACATACTCTATTTTATCAACCATTTCTCCACAAACTCTGAGTTGAAAATAAAAAAAGTTATTCCTGTAAGTAATATATTATGACATACACCAAATTACATTAAAAAAGTGATATGTGTGTTTGCATGTTTTTTATTTTATTTTATTTTTATTAGTTACATTTTGTTAACTCTATGTCCCAGCTGTATCTCGCTCCTCATTCCCTCCCCAACCCCACACTCCCTCCCTGGTCTCCTCCCTGCCCCTTTCCAAGTCCACTGATATGGGAGGACCTCCTCCCCCTTCATTTGACCCTGTTTTATCAGGTATCTTCAGGGCTGGCTGCAAAGTCCTCATCTGTGGCCTAACAGGATTGCTCCTCTCCTGCGGGGGTGGGGAGGTCAAAGAGCCTGCCCTTGAGATCCTCTTAGAAATAGTCCTTGTTCCCCTTACTTTGGAAAACTACTTGGTTACTGAGCTACCACGGGCCACATCCGAGCAGAAGTTCTAGGTTATATCCACAGATGGTCCTTGGTTGAGTGTCAGTCTCAGAAAAGACCCTGTGCCCAGATATATTTGGTACTTGTAGAGCTCCTATCCTTTTCATATCATACTAACTCCCCTTCTTTCATATTGCATGTTTTTGTATGGAATGTAGGAATAGATTTTTAAAAACAAAGTTATTAAATACTTAATTTTTCATCCAAATATGAAAACCACAAGTATTTCATTTCCCTTTGGTGTAGGAAAATTATGGTATTCAATTTTGTGTCTGATAATTAATTTCAATAAGTACATAAAGACAAAAATGTAAAACATTGTGAAAATCATTAGCCAGGAGGACCACATAGGATCAGTGGTGGTGAGTTTTCTGCTGATGTTGCAGATCTAGAAATTTTAAGTATAACCAAATACATCAGACTGACATTCATATCAAAAGCCAAATAAGCATCTGACTTCCTACTGTCAATGATGGTAGACAATATTTTAGTAAGCTAGCTGGCAAGTTTATTCAACCTGTTCTGCTCAGTGATTTGAAATAAGTTGGTCTCTAAAGAATACTGCAAATGTCAGGAAAAGACAAGCTGTGGTACAGCTTGTTGAGCTGTACACTCTGTGGTACAGAGTGTTGAGTTAAAATACAAAGAGATCATATCATGAGGTAGCATTCCATCCCTGTCCTTGAGCCTAATGAAAAAATAAGTATGTTGTTAGAGGCTCTGTTCTTTTACTGGTTAAAGAGGATGTAGCACAAAGTCAAGAGGAAGTGTTTATCTCAGGAATGTGCTACAGCTGAAAAGGGTCTTTATTTCCTCTTGAGTGGGTACTACTTTCTCCTAATTGTTTTTTGCCCGAGGCTGTAGGGTATGAGTTCACTGCTGAAGTCTATACCACTGTTGTGGAACATATGGTCCTTTGAAAAGTCCAGGTTACTCTGACACAGAGAAATAGCTTTGATACCTTACTCAAGTAAAAAAGCTAAAGTAAGTGCCTTGTGGATACAACGCTCTTCAAATGTCTTAACTTTTTAGTTTTCAGACAAGTATAATTCTATGTTTCAAAATTTCTCTGTTGTGGACATTTTAACATAGAGTACATTCGGCTCCTCTTTGATTTGTGTGTTCCAAAACACTGCTTTTCTTCAGCACACACACTCTCTCTCTAAAATTATTCACAGAATTGTACATTTACTAGGAAATATAGAGTTAATTCTAAGTTCCTTCACCTGAGCTGGGCAACTAAAATGAAATACATTGAACCTCAGTCACCCATATAGTCTCCTTTGCAGAGTGAAATGATGGGTAGTAACAGAAGATGAAAGGACAATCACAACTCTCCAGCTCTAATCAGATTATAGGATTTTCCTGTTTTCCTTCATTGTAAACAAAATGGTGTTTGTACATTCCTGATCATTTTGCTAATGTCATTTGTTTTGTAAGATTGACTAGATTCAAAGCATACCAGATGCCAAAAAGCCTTTTGGTAAACAGCTTTGGAATTGGAGGTTTTCATGGTAGAAATTTGGAATGATGTTATAAATCTTTGGAACTTGTGGACTCAAAATACAAATGATGTCTCAATTTCATCTCATTTACAGTCAATCTAAACTCCAACTATCCTGGAACAATCTAACTCTACTTACCTGGGTCTCCTTGATTGCCCTCCAAGGCCTGAAATTCAGCAAGAGTAGAGACTCTAAACACTTCAAGGTTCTGAAAGCAGCCAAGTTAACTAAATACCCATCTTATAAATAACATTTGGTTCTTATCCTGAGAAAAGACTATCAAGTAGCTAGAAAGATATTAGCAGACTTGGACACAATTGAGAATAGGAGTTCCTTTTCTCTGATGACACCAGAGAAGAAATTATCACAACTCTACCCTTCTTTAGTATTTAACAAACCCATATGAAAATGTAGAGGTATCTGGGGTTTGTTGTAGCTTGTTAAGGAAAACCTATTTCTCCTTTGTCAAAGTAATAGAATCAGATTGTATCTCTTACCTGGGTGAAAGCTTGACATTCTACGCTGGCTAAAATATTATACACTATTGTCCCCTTTCATAAGAATTAATCCATTTATGACTGTTGGTGACTCAGGCAGGAGCCTACATTTCTATAAAACTGATTTATCTGACAAAATGCTAAGCAGATAAGAGGAGTAATGTTCCTCAATGTGATAATACAGTTATATCTCCATAACTGCCTTCCTTGGTTGCCTTCAGATCTTAACTGCTAAGCCAGACTGAGTTCTCTCACCTTTTACTCCTTTTTATTTTCTATTTTTCTTTGGTCACTGGCACAAATACTAAGAATGCTTTCCCTGATTCTTTTGGGTCTCTCTCTCTCTCTCTCTCTCTCTGCACCCATTGATTTACTTGCATATCTTCACTGCTCAATCTGCCAGTTTCTGAGTTCTAACTCAAAATGAATAATTTTTCTTAAGATACCAGCTAAAACTTATGGCCAAACTTTGGGCAGAAATAATGCAGGGAATCTTATGAAAGAAGTGGGAAACAGTAAGACCTGGAGAGGACAGGAACTCCACAAGAAGAGCAACAGAACCAAAACATCTGGGCACAGGGATCTTTCCTGAGACTCATACTCCAACCAAGTACCATGCATGGAGATAACCTAGAACCCCTGCACAGATGTAGCCCATGGCAGTTCGGTGTCCAAGTGGGTTCCATAGTAATGGGAACAGGGAGTGCTTCTGACATGAACTGCTTGGCTTGCTCTTTGATCACCTCCCCTTGAGGAGGGAGCAGCCTTACCAGGCCACAGAGGAAGACAATGCAGCCACTCCTGATGAGACCTAACAGACTAGAATCAGAAGGAAGAAAAAGAAACCCTCCCCTACCATGCGTGGAGAGGCATGCATGGAGAAGGGGGAGGAAGAAAGAGATTGGGAGGGGAGGAGGGAGGGAACTAAAGGGGGGATACAAAATAAATAAAATGTAATTAAAAATAAAATTAAATTAAAATTAGAAAAGATACCAGTTAAAATCAAAAGCATACTTGCCCTGACATTGACTATTTTCACTTTCTCTGAAGATAACCCCATAACACGCACACATACACACACACACACAAATACACATACATATACTCATATAACACACATACAGACATACACACACATGCACACACATACACTCACACATAGAGATAGTCATACATACACTCATATACACATACACACATATAAACACATACACACAGACACATACACACACACATACGCACACACACCACTTTACTGCTGACTGTGCCTATTTTTATGGACTTTAACTCAAATGGCTTGGTTTCTTTTTTCACCTTCAACTACCTCCTCCTGTCATCTATCAAGATGTACAACTTGCCTGCTCTGTTTTTATTTTCTCTCAAGCTCTAACAAGATGGTCCTACATGTTCCTTCTCAGTTTATTTTAAAATCGTTTTATCAACAAAAGTAAGAAAAACAAAGGAGGACTCTAATCCCTTGTTACAATGACTATGGAAGAATTCTAAAAGCATCCAGGTTGTGAAGGAAGAAGAAGGGCTATGTCTAACTATGGATGGCAAGCTCTCACATATACAAAATGTCAAGGTACTTGGAAGTGATTATAACAATGCTGTGCTCATATACAAAAGATATGCGAACTAGAGTTGGGACCTGAATGTAGAAGGTAAAGTGGAAAACTGTCGGAGCAGGCTGTCTTCTACTCATGTTCATGTCTTATACAAGATGAAAGTACAAACTGCAAAAGTAAAACAGATACGTGGATATTCATCAAAATTAAAAATGTCCATTCTTCAAAAGAGAGTACTGCACAACACGGTTCACTTAGACTGGAAGGAGAAAACATTTGTGAATCATTTACATCACATAAGACATGTATTCCAAATATGTCTAAAAGCTCTTACAACTCACAAAAGCAGAAGACAATGCAGTTGGAAAGTGATCAAAGACTGAAAGACTTTTTTTTTTTTTTTTTTTTTGGTAACAAAGGGCTGGCAGCCACATGGAAGTAGATCAACATTTCTAGTCCTCTGGAAAATACCAACAAAAATCATACTTCATATCCACAATGATGTCAAAAAACAAAGGCAAGATTTTGCAAAGCTGTGGAAGAATTGAAAATACAACAAAGTATCGGTGCAAATACGGCCTCACTGTAAAACGTGTTGAGTAAGGAATTAGCATATTTCAGGCAGCTTCAATGGTAGGCGTATACCCAAGAGAAATCAAAACATGAATCAATGTACACTACTGTTCACAGAAGCTGTGCTCATAACAGCCAAAGGCAGAAATTATCCACATGCCAATCAAATGCTGAGTGTGAATAGGTTAAAAATACGATACAACAGAGTGTCATTAAAGAATACAAATATGAAATTCTAGTATAGAGTAAAACACAGGAAAGTCTTAAATGTATTGTTCCAAAAAATATATATAGATAGATATAGATATA